TATCAAATGCATTATTATTTTATCTTTTTATTCTAATGATACATTTTATACAAGATGTTTACGTATTTACTTATAGAATCATTAATAAGATAACCTAACTTATGAAAACGTGTRTGCTAGTCCACACATGTTTGTACAATATATTTATTCCAAATAATTATTTCTAATCTATTTAAATAAGATTACTATATTTAGTAAATGTATCATTTCAATCTTCATTTTTTTTAAATTTTAATTTATATTACATCTCAGCAATTTTAATTCAAGTAAAAAATTTATGCTCTATCATAAAAATTAAAATAATATACTTATTTTTTTTCTTTTAAAGCTGAAAGAATATGAGGTCATTGGGCGTAAACTCCCAACAGAAAAGGAGAAAACACCTCCTTTATATAAAATGAGAATATTTGCACCAGATGCAATAGTTGCCAAATCAAGATTTTGGTATTTCCTGCGTCAGTTGAAAAAGTTTAAGAAATCAACTGGAGAGATCGTATCACTTAAACAGGTACATATTAAATATATTATGATTAATATAAAATATAAATTCATATTGTTAATGGTTGTAACTTTAGATTCCAGAAAAGACTCCAATAAAAATAAAGAACTTTGGAATTTGGTTGCGATACGATTCTCGATCTGGAACACACAATATGTACAGAGAATACAGAGATTTATCTGTTAGCGGAGCTGTAACTCAATGTTACAGAGATATGGGAGCACGTCATCGTGCACGAGCTCATTCAATTCAAATAATTAAAGTTGAAGTGGTAAAGGCTGCAAATTGTCGAAGACCACAAGTTAAACAATTCCATGATTCAAAAATTAAATTCCCATTACCTAAAAGAATACATCATAAAAATCGTATGCCTCTCTTTAGTGTTCGTAAACCACGCACTTATTTCCTTTAAGTGTATTTACNTAAATTCCCATTACCTAAAAGAATACATCATAAAAATCGTATGCCTCTCTTTAGTGTTCGTAAACCACGCACTTATTTCCTTTAAGTGTATTTACATACAGCCTTTTATAAATTAATGCTCTAAGTATATAATTCTAAACTAATTAAACCGAATATTAATGTAATGTAATATAATATAATTTAATACAATACATTACATATATATCATTTGTATGTCAGCCTTAAATTTTATAATACAGTTTATTTGTGAAAACTTTATGTTTTACCCAAAATGATTAGCAGTTTTTAAAACGCATAAAAAAAATCTTATTATACACCAAAACTAGTTGTCATAATAAATAGCGAGGTTGTATCAAAATTAACAAGAAACGACTAATTTAATTTTGAAATTAAAGTTTTTTTGCTTGCTGTTGAACCTTTGAAAATAGCTTAATTTTGGTAGTATGCAACAAAAATTTTGTATTTCTCCTTGTGTCATTATCATAGTGATCAATGAATACTGTCATTTATATTCAGTTTAATACATGAAAATCAATGATTTACACTTGAGAAATAATAGGAGACTTACTTTGAAACCAGCAAAAAGAAAAATGAATTTTTATCAAAATTTTCATAAATAAACAAGAAAAATATTCATAGGAAACTACCTTACCATCATTTAGTAAGTAAAAACATTGAAGGCAATCATTTAATATATAAGTATATAAAAACATATATGTTATATGAAATATATTTCTAATAAATAATTTTTATATTAAATAATAGAAAAAATACTACAATTTTCTTATTAAATATGATAATAAAAATAATAAACATTTATTTAAGTAAATCAAATATTTTGATTTCCGGTTGCCATACTTATGACGATCTCTCTTTCCGACTAACACTCGTTGTTAAAGTTATACCAGAATGAAGGCAAAAGGAGAAGTGAGTAAATTATTTAATCGTATTGTGAAATCTATACATACTTATATATCAAATGCATTATTATTTTATCTTTTTATTCTAATGATACATTTTATACAAGATGTTTACGTATTTACTTATAGAATCATTAATAAGATAACCTAACTTATGAAAACGTGTGTGCTAGTCCACACATGTTTGTACAATATATTTATTCCAAATAATTATTTCTAATCTATTTAAATAAGATTACTATATTTAGTAAATGTATCATTTCAATCTTCATTTTTTTTAAATTTTAATTTATATTACATCTCAGCAATTTTAATTCAAGTAAAAAATTTATGCTCTATCATAAAAATTAAAATAATATACTTATTTTTTTTCTTTTAAAGCTGAAAGAATATGAGGTCATTGGGCGTAAACTCCCAACAGAAAAGGAGAAAACACCTCCTTTATATAAAATGAGAATATTTGCACCAGATGCAATAGTTGCCAAATCAAGATTTTGGTATTTCCTGCGTCAGTTGAAAAAGTTTAAGAAATCAACTGGAGAGATCGTATCACTTAAACAGGTACATATTAAATATATTATGATTAATATAAAATATAAATTCATATTGTTAATGGTTGTAACTTTAGATTCCAGAAAAGACTCCAATAAAAATAAAGAACTTTGGAATTTGGTTGCGATACGATTCTCGATCTGGAACACACAATATGTACAGAGAATACAGAGATTTATCTGTTAGCGGAGCTGTAACTCAATGTTACAGAGATATGGGAGCACGTCATCGTGCACGAGCTCATTCAATTCAAATAATTAAAGTTGAAGTGGTAAAGGCTGCAAATTGTCGAAGACCACAAGTTAAACAATTCCATGATTCAAAAATTAAATTCCCATTACCTAAAAGAATACATCATAAAAATCGTATGCCTCTCTTTAGTGTTCGTAAACCACGCACTTATTTCCTTTAAGTGTATTTACTTACAGCATTTTGTATATTGTCACTCTGAATACAAAATTCTAAACATTTTAAACTGAACATTATTGTACTACCGAAATTATTATCCTTGTACTTTTAATTAATTAAGTTCAAAAAATAACTCTGCTCTGCAGTCATTGGAGAAAAAAACGAACATAACCTAAGTATTCTTAGAAACTAAATATAATCAAAAAAATAACGTAGTCAAATATATCGCATGATTCATTTAGTAAACATTCGTTGAAATATGGTAAAGACGCGCATATGTTTAATTAAAGAGGTTAGTGCATGGATAGTTTTTCTTTATTCTTTTTCCTGTGTATATGCATATATATGTATGTATGTTGATATATAAAAAATGTATAGAAATAAATGATTAAATTTATGGAATATATAATATTATCAAAAATACATATTTATCTATGATAAGCAAGTTTCATTATATCAAGGATAGTCTTTGGTCACTGATATTACATCATGACTGTGTCATTCGCTTTAACAGTCGTCAGTAATACTCGGTGACGGCTAGAAGGACGTTGCATTGTGCGCAGGTTATGCCATATTAGTCAATTTTATCATGTAATTTGTATTGTCCAAATTAATACATAAAGGTTTGTTAAATAAGCGTAGTAATAATAATAAATCCAAAAAGAATTTTAAATTTCACTTAACAATTTAATCAATATGTTTACGTAAATAAAAAATAAACGAATAATAATAAAATTTTATTCTTTTATTACGTGTGACATCTACATATGCATTGATATTATTTGTTATTATATTTAATATTTAACTACTAGATATCTTTAACTGCATATGTATTTGTTATTTTCAATATAAGTTGGATTTAGATACGAATTTCAACAATATTTACTTTAGTGATATATATATATATATATATATTCTACAGATTATTGTGATAATTAAAAGTTAATTGTCAATTAATTTTTAGATTTAAAAGTAATGGGACAATCTCAGGACAGTAATTCGACTCCTCGTGTGCCATACGACGAGACCGGTGACAATGGATATATTCTTGGTAACAAATACATTCCACAGGAATTGTTAGCCGAATTTCTTTGTCACGTTGACAACACGACACTTTTAAATTGTCAACTGGTTTGTCAACATTGGAAAAGTTTAATACTCAATTATGTTTGGCGTAAGAAAGCTGAGATGACATTAACTCGTCCGCATACATTAGATACAGATATGCCTTGGAAAGCTTATTACTTGATAGCTAAAAAGAAACCTTTTGAAAGGAATTTAATAAAAAATCATTCAGGAGAACATGGAGTACAGAAGCATTGGAAAATCTTGACAGATGGTGGTGATCATTGGAAAGTTGAAAATCCACCAAAGGGAGTTCCACCTTTACCAAAGAACGATCCCGTTTTTGGAAAAAAAGAACATTGCTTCGTAACGTCTTACAATAGTTGTTTCAAAATTCAAACGATAGATTTAGAAGCTGAGGGATTAACATCCTACGTCTTGGACGTCTTGCAACCTACTATAGTGGTAACGAATTTAAAAATTAGAAGATTTTATATTTATCCGATACAAGAGATTAGTTTAATTAGCAAAAACGTGCTTTTCTTTAGGTAAGCGAATGGTATAGTTGTAGATGGGATTGTCCAGCTCATTACGAATGTACAGTCGAATTAATAGGGAGTGATAACAAAATGATGGATACATTCCAATTCCATGACGATATTGAAGGGGATAAACAAAATCAATGGTTACACGTTAGTCTTTACTTTTTCCTGCCTCCTTTAATAACCATACAATAATATTCATTAAGTATTAACTATCATTCATATACGTTCTTATTAAATAGATCAGTCACGAATTTAAAGACTACGGGCCTGGTCTTAAAAAAATTAGTTTCTATCATGGAGGAATGGATAAATCATTTTGGGCTGGTCATTACGGTAGTAAAATGGCTGGGGCTTGTGTTATTGTTAAAATACCTGAAAATGATGAACATCGATGTGACGACGACGATGATGATGATACAGATACAAATACGGATACAGATTCGGATACAAATAAAGCCTCTAATACGGAATAATAAATGAAAAACTAAATACATAATATGTGTAACTATATACGAAGTATTTTTTTCAATCGACAAGCATTATTATTATGAGCATAGATTAAATATTATTATTCTATCCAATTTCAAACGGAGCTCTTACAGTATATGCATTTCTATCTCTATTTGGCTCTGTATTTTGATTTGTAAGTATTTTTTATTAGAAAACTTGTGTTCTATAGTAAAAAAGAAAAAAATAACACAAAATTTTATCCCTTTCGCTTGAGTATAAAAAGAAATAAATTTCTTTAAAATAACTTCTCTCAAATGAAAAGTCGAATTAATTTATTTGTTTATTTTGTTAAGAATAAAAATAAAATATATATTATAAGCTGTTACATAATATCGCATAAAAAGATAATAATCATTAAAGCGGCTGAAACAACTTATTAAATTTTATTGGAGCATTTAAAGAATTTATATGTGAATGTAACTTCGGTAAAATAATATATATATAAAACAAAGTTAACATTATATATCATGCAATTATAATGAGAAGGTGTTGTAAAGTTTACAATCCTCGTTCGCGCACCTCATTTTTATATAAATAATATTATAAAGATAAAAAAATGTTTTTTAAAATTTTGTATATATGTACAAAGCAAATAGTTTGTATGTATATACAAAGATGCGAATAAAAAGTATCTGTGTTTTGTATATTTTGTATACACTCACATATATACGTGTCCATTCTGTTATTTAATATTTATTCCACTGCCTTTCTATTACGCGCAATGCAATGTTCATGGAAAGCGAATAAAAAAAAAAGAAATATGATAGATTTATTTTTAAACTTACTGTCACACATATAAAACTACAATTAATTTAATTTAAATGCTATTTCAACTAAATTCTGTGGCGCGGAATCTTGATAACATACATATAACTCTTTAGGATGCGGAGTCGTATATAATCGTCCTACGACCCAATACGTCGTATTTTCCCATTCGAAAAGAATACCATGTTCTTTAATGGCAATTAAACTTTTGTTTATCACAGTTTTATCCATATCTTGATTCAGCATTGTTTTAAAGCGTATCGTGTTGTGTAACAATTTATGTATCATATGCACGCATTTATTAAAATTTGTTAAAAGTTTATTGTCTTTAGATGAGGTATCGATCGGATGTGAGGACAATAAAATACCCTCGGTAATATCCAAATGTATGTAATGATATAAGTAATTTTTTTCTCCCGCAGTTAATTTGTTTGGCAATAAATACTCGACTTGATTCAACAAATTATCCCGTATATTGGATATATCGCTGTTCATTACTTGACTTTCGTTCTGAAAGAAAATATTCATTTGTTAATATACACGGTTCTTGTTGTTTTCTTTTGTAGAAAATAAAATAAAATCTATTCACTCTGTAAATATCTATATCGGAATCGCTATCGTCAGAATATTTAGATCCGCTGCTAATTTTTTCTCTAGTCGCTCGTCTTCCTAATATCGGCATTGCCTCGTCGCTAACTTCGCTTATTGCACCAGTTCCTTGACTTAACGAATCTTCTGACGTTTGCAAAGAATAAACTGGAAATATAACAATAGTTAATTTATTATTTATAAAAGAAACTAACTGCAATATTATTTAAATAATATTTACCCGATCCCAAAACCGTTGGACTTTCTTCTAGGTTGCGCTTTTTTAAAATGGAAGCTAATTCTTGAGTTTTTTTATTAGCAGAAGTATTAAGATTTGGTTTAGATATTACGTTTTGTACGTCCGATGATTTAATAAAGCCTAACAAATTTTCTGTTATGCTGGACGATTGTTTGGATAATATATTGTCTTCGTAAGGAATCACTTCCGGCCTAGCATTAGATGCGATCCATTTAGCGGCTAACGTTGTTATTCCAATTTTTTGTATATGTTTTAGAGTTTCCTGAGCTTCTTCTACATAAAACACATCTGGTCCTGTAGTATCGTCATACCTAATAAATCGAAAAATAATTTTTATTTTAATCAAAGATTAGAAGCATTAATACATAATATAATTTTGTTTTTACTTTGCAGTACAACCACCAGACTCTAAAAGAACTGCTAACAAATCGTGTTCGTAACCAACGATAAGTAAAAACCATTTCCCATTTGGAACTAATGGTTGATTAGTATTATGTTTATCGATATTTCCTCTATTACAAGATAATGGATAAACTCTTTTCCATATAACAAGAGATTTAACAGGTTCCGTATTAACCAAATTCAGTAAACCATTTTGTCGTAAAAATGCATGAATTTCAATTAAATCTTCGTGAGGTAAATGAGATCCCAGGAGATAATATTTATGGTATATGCAACTACCAAGTATTGTATACAATCTTTGACAATCCATAGGATCTTCATTCTATATGTTATACAAAAGAATTTTAATAAAAATTATTATTATTATAAATAACATATACTTTACACACACACACACAAAGAAATATATACCCAATCTCTATAATCCATAGCTTCCATTTCATTTAACGCAGCATCAATTTGTATTTGAGCATCTCTCGGCAAGTGAACAAAATGTGCTACTGAAAAGCTACTTTTGAATTTATAATTTTCAAGATTTCTTGTACAATATTGCAAGTCTACTTCGCTCTTCGGACTGTTAGTATTATCTTCAGAATTCTTTATATTTAATAATCTCTGCATAATTAGAAAGATAAAATGATCTATGCTATCATGATTTTCTTGATTCGTGAAACATTTCGTTAACGATTGATAAGTGAATTCTAAAGTTTTGACAATATCTGCAGATATCATACAAGCTTCTTCGAGACTACAACTGAAATATTATATAAGTTTTGTAAAGAAATATTATTTTCTAAATGATAGATAAATGTTTGTTATTTATATTTACCATTTATCTGGCAATGCAATTAACAATAATTCTTCTTTGCAAGGTATATATATAATATGCATTTCTTCTCCCGCTAAATGTACGGTTGTACTAAAAAAAAAAAAAATAATAATAATAATCATTAAAATTATAAATATAAAAAATTAGTAACAAAAATTTACCTGATCGGTTGTGCACCAACTATTTCTGGTAACAAATGATTTAACGTTATAAAAGCACCTCTTGCTGAACATAAATTAGAATGTATATTATCAGATCTTGGAAAAGAATATAAAACACCTTGTAATTCTTGACCCGTTTCCGAAAGATCCGTAGTACATAAATAAATAATCCCAAGTGGATAAATTAATAAGCTTTCCATTAAGTGCGTGCTCTCTCCTTTATTAACAATATTTTGCACTAATGTCGATTGCTAAAAATACAAATATTATACATTAAATTTGTAAATATCATTTATGCAATTTATGAATTATAAAATGCAGTTATACTTTTACTGTATTCATTCCAGGCACTTTTTCGGTAACGTCAATACCTGCTACTCTTTGAAGTTCTAACGTTACCTATATAAACAAATGTATATTATCTTAGGTATAATTTAATTATTATAAGAATATTAACTTTTTATGTATTGATAATACGAAGAGAATTATTATGCTCACATTAGTTGGAGTAGTTATCTCGGATAATACATAATCCAAGTTTTGGAATGTAACATTGTTCGAATTAATACTTTTCAACCAATCACCAATTTTAATATTTTTATTTTTTATAGCTTCTCCATCAGGTATAAACCCAGCAACCATGACTCTAACTTTATCCGAAAAAGTACCAGGTGTTATACCAAAATACGCTTCGCATAACGTTGCTCTACGTCCTAATTTATGTCTTTTTTCAGGATCAACCCACAAAGTAACTTCACGGATTTCACCTGCCTACAAAAAATGTATTAATTTTATTTATTATATATATTTTATAATTTTATTCTCATTATACAGGGTATCTGAAAAGGAGCTTCAAACCTCAGATATCTTATATATTAAAACTTTATCATCATAAGTACCTGAAAATCTCTAAAAGTAACTTCCTTATTTCCATTTCCTTCCTTTTCTTGAGTTCCTCTATTATTACCAATTGGATTAGTATTATTTTTCTTATTTCTTGTACTCCACCTTTTACTATCCTTACGTCTCAACAAACGCATAAGTTTACCAGCTCTGGTACTACGTCTTCTAGTTAATTCCGGTTGTGGACTTTTTCTTGAATCGTCGCAGGATGTATTAGCACTTGATAAAGTCTCTACTGGAGATTCTATGTAAAAAACTTCACCGTTTGGTCCAATTTCTGATTCCCATTCAATAATGGAGCTAAATTTAAAATTAAACATTAATAATTAATTTTAATACATTCAATATATTTTAATCACACACACACACACACAACATTTTATTTATTTCTCTAGTACCTGTCAGTGTCAGAATAATATGAACCCGTACTTGATCCGCTGTCACTTGCCCACCAATTGTGTTCGTTATCATCTTGTTTAATATTTTCTAAATGACATGTCTGATCGGGCTTTAATAATAATGTTTTACTTTCAGCATCGTTCATTTTTATACAAAATATTTGTTATACCTATTCTAATATGCATACAATTAATCAATCCATCAAAATAATTAAAAAAATATATTTCACATATATGTATGTGTATATATATATATATATATATATATGTGTGTGTATTTATAAATGTTAATTGTAATAATAGTATAATTAAAAGTACATTTACGTTTCGAATAGATTATTATAATTTTCTGTTTAGTTTTACCATGTTACACCTGTTGGAATTCGTATGTCTGGAAAGGTTGGGTCAATCTGACTACCTGAACCCAATGGTGTAGGAAAAAAGGGATCAACGCTATGGCTTTGTTTTCAATCATGTAACATATCGTACGAATATAAATGCAATTGCATATATACACACACTATAATATATACACATGCATATATTTATTTTAGATATTAAAATTAGCTTACTTAGAAAATAGTGTAAAGAAAAATAATAATAATTTATTTCTAATAAGTTCTTTTTTATGTTACACTATTTAAAAGTCAAGATTATATTTTGTAAAGTATTAAATAATCGTATAATTAAATACATTTAGTAGGTTTATAACAGGATAGGAATGAATGAAAGACGTCGAATAAATACTATTACACGTGCTCAAGTAAACTAAGAATGCACATTCCAAAGATTTTGTATGATAATGAATAGAAAGATAAAAAATTTACTTTTTATTAAAAAGAATAAAGAAGGATATTTAGAAAATAAATAAAAACAAACATTCACAAATTGTTATCATTTTCTTTCGTTTAAGTAAAAACGTCTCTTACTCGGGTGCTCAGTTGTTGCTGCTGCAAGTCTGCCAAAGTTGTAGATAAACAATGGTAAAAAAAAGCACAGAACATGAGCAGTTAATGGGGATAATTGTACCTAATTAATTAGACAATATTTTCAATTTAAAAAAAATATAATATTTCATTTTATCTAATCGATTGTTTTAATTTGGATGGCATAGATTTGATATCACTAAAATCTTTCTTCTTATGTGGATCAGGTAGAAAACATTTCCATAATCTCAATGTTTCATCAGCACCTGCACTAAGAACTGTAGTACCATCTGGAGACATTGCTAAATGTAATACGCGACTCGAATGTCCAGTTAATTCAGCAACTTTAGTCATTCCTGGATATTTCCATATTGTTAATTGATTTTGAGCATAACCATGACCTGAGATTATTTCTTTGTACGTCGAAGACCAAAGCAGTGAACATACTTGTGATTTTGTATCTATGCTATTCAAACAGGCTCCTATATTGAAAATAAAATTAATAAGTTAGATGAAGATAATTTATAATATTTCAATTAACATAATAAACAAATCGAATTATATATTTACCCGTATTACAATTCCAAAATTTAATCATTCTGTCTGCAGTACCGCCACCACTAGCTAAAATATTATTTTGCCAAGGACACCACGCGAGTGCTTTTACTGCAGCTTGATGTTGATTCATTGAATAAAGGGGTTGAGTTTGAGAATGATTTTGTCCTGAAACTACTGGCCATATATTAAGCATATTGTCATTGCCACCGCTAGCTAAATATTTTCCGTCTGGAGACCATTTCAAACCGCATACTTCTTGAGAGTGTGCATTTATAGAGGATATTAGGTGCTGACGTTGTCTGACATCGTGATGAATTATTTGTCCTCCTCTGAAAAGAAAAAATAAAATAAGAAAATATAAGATCTAATATCAAATAAACTTGATAAAATTAAGTATTTTTGAAATATTCATTAAATTACCTGCAGCCACTTGTTAAAATGTGAGAATTCCAGGCAAGTGAACCAACTCTTACAGCATGACCATTCATTACACGAACTCTTTTAACTTCACTACAATCCCATAATTCTGTATTACCTACTGTTGTACCAATTGCTAAATATGGACCTTCCTGAATCCACGCTACAGAACATACGTAATCGTTGCTTTCTAATTCAAATAATTGAGCTATAGTGCCTGATCCAGCATCCCATAAATATACGCTATTACCTAAAGCTACAGCTAAAACATTACTTTCTGACCAATCGATAAGATTTAAATCTGAAAATATAAATAACACACACACATATGTATAAAATATAAACCTATACACATATACAGAGTACATGGACATATCCTATTACATAAACTTAATAATATACTTACAATAGTCATCTATAATATCAGGAGCATCCAATATTCGATCAGGAGTTTGCGGAATATACCTTATAGAAGCTTTAACACTAGCCGGTGTTTTTGTTTGACTATAAACAACTCTTAATGGATTCTGATATCCTTCGGGTGGAGCTGGCGCTTTATTTTGATACGACAGAACTCTCATATTATTAATATCACCACCATGTAAATTTTCTCCTATCAAACGTTGCATTTCTTTTTTTGAAGGACTTATGTTATCTCCTTTCTCGCCATCTTGGTCCGTTTGTTGTTGCTGTTGTTGTTGTTGAATCTTAACAAAAAATTATATAAGTAAGAAATTAAATAAAAAAGGAATCGAATAAATTTATACCAATTGTCAACCTCAGCAAGAATAAATTTTTGTCAACAAAAAAAGAAAAAGAAAATGATTTAACTTTTATATTTTTTATTTTTAATTAGAACAAATTAGAAAGATATGATAAAGATTTTATTTTTTTTTCATATAATGAAAAATAGTAATATAAGAAAGAAAAATTAAACGTTAGTATTAAATTAAGCATTGGCATCCTTGAAGAGATGATTTATATAAAAAGGAAAAATACCTTATAATAGCCTAAATCAAAATTTGTTGTCGCTCTGCAAGGAATAAATCTGTCTCCACCATTGGGTGTATTGATGTTACGACCTGTTATCAATTTTTAAAATATATATATATTATAGTTAATTTTCACAATAACATGAATAATTGGTATAAAATAATAATATAATAATATATTTTCACAATAATAATAGAATAAAATTATCCTTGTGGAAAGTCTTACATACCAGGAGATTTTTTATTTACTTTAGACGGTGTCTTTTTATTTTTGGAATCATTCTTTTTCGTTGGGGTCTTTCCAATAGTTGTATTCACAAAAGATCCAGACATAGCTTTGAGTGATGAGTTAATACTAATATTACTGTAAAAAATATCATTAAAAAGATAATAACAATAAAAAATATTTTATTTTGATTAGATAAAAGAGTATAAGATAATTATAAAGGATTTGGTGCATTGCCTTGTATTTGGAATCTCTGAAGATTTTCTTTGCCAACGTGGGACTGGTCCTTTTATAGCTTCATCCATTCGGGTTATGTTATTTAATTCTTTCATATATTTTAAATTCGACATAATTATAAAAAAATTATTCGTGTAATAGTAATAATATTAATAATTAAAAAAAAACTTTACACTAAAAAATTGTAGTCCATTCACCAACGATTCTTGGCGAGGCAAATCTTTTTCTAAATTTCTTTTACGAAAATAAATAAATTAAATGAAGTTCCAAGGGTTACTTTTGTTTATCAACGTGTATCACGTAATTACTTTTTAAAAAAGAAACAAAATAAAGTAATTACATTAAGTATAAAATGGAAATATCTTCAACACTGTATTACAGAAGTATTCCTGAATCGGCTATGGGTCATTTAAACGAACGACTAAACATCTGAATAACTTCAAGCGACCGTTGTAATTTTGAATTTAATTCGTGTTTCCTTCAATAGGGTGGCGCTTTTAATCAATTGACTATTTGTCAAGAGAATTTTCATCGATAATATTTTTATTAAAATAAACTTAATTATCCCATAAAAACTTAAAAATAAATCGATTTAAATTGCATACATAATTAAATACAGATTTAAAATTAAAACAAAATTAAATCTATTTTATTTTGTGGATTTTAGGTACTTTGATTGGTTCGATGATAACTGAACCGACCAATCAAATTTGAACTACAATCCGCCATTTTGTTTGAGTTCAAATGTTTTAATCAAAAGTTTTTCTTCTCGATATACAGGATGGATAATTGCCATGAAATTTTAATATTAAAAGTAAGAATATATACTAATATTTTGAAAAATTCTACGTATATTTATCATCTCAATAATTTGTTCTTGCATATTAATCAATATTCAAAACGAACGACATTAATAAAACAATTTTATATTACAGGATAGAGAAAGAAAAATGATCTCACCGATGGAAATTAAAATGAATGGTAGGTAACGCAATATACCTTATTTTACGTTAACCTTACTTATATCGATTTTTCAATGTTTGTTATTAGTATATTACGCAGCTGATAAGAAGAAAGAGAAGGGTAAAAGGGATCGAAATGGTAGTTCATGCGACGTGCGCCGTAGTAACTTGGATCATCCTGTTGTAGGTGTAGTAAAAAAAGAGATAGAAAGACGTGGACATGCAAAAAGAAGGTTAAAGGTCGTGATGGTGTTCACCAAGAATTCTTGTCAAGTTTTAAAACCTTACAAAGTTCATTCAAATTAATTCGAAATATTTTCACTTATATTTTCTTTTTTATTCCTTTTTTCCTTCTTTCTTTCTCTATCTATCTATCTATATATATATATANTATATATATATATATATATATGTATATTTACATATATTATGTTTCTTTCATATATTATCTTTCTCATTGCTTCAGCCCCAAAGTAAATTAAACGTTCTTCAAAAAATCAAATCGAGTCTAACGCTGGATATTTCGATGTCTTCGAGTTCCGATCAGTTATCTTTTTTATTATTATTCTATTTTATCAATGATCTTTTATTAATAATTTTAAACGAAATATTAAGGTTATATTGGATAAATTCGAATACAGGCGCGTACAATTTAACATTCCATTGGTATCACCAATTTAACGCCTTGAGGCTAACCAACATGGTGGCAGGGGAATCAAAAATTGTTCTCCCATCGTACGGTGGATAATGAGAGGATTTTATTATCAAGAAATTCAAAAAATCTCAAGTGACCTGACAAATCATTTACCAAAGGACAACTATGATGCACGGTTAAATTATTTGTTCTAATGCGAAAGAGAGAAAGTTTAATAATGTCCTACGTACAAATAACGAAAAGAAAAGGTTAAACTGACTACTGCTACTGCAAGAGAGAGAAAGAGATAAAAAGAGAAAGTAAGGCAGAAAGAGAGAGACAGATAGATAGGTAGACTTGGCAACGTAACAACTGATCAACCCGCCCCTTAAACTCAAGTTTGAATCTTTTAACGGTCACGCAAGTAAGTATCAAGCGTCGTCTTACTTGATTTATAATCTTACTTATCTTAGTTTCTATGACGATCGTTTATTACTCTTATAATGGTGTATTGAAATCGTCATCGATGTTCTTAGATTCATACTAATCTATATTAATATGCGTGGGTCGGTGAAATCCAGTTTACCTTTGATATCACCCACTCTAACCTTTTCCGCATGTTTACTCATACTGGATGCTAGAATTAGTTAACATATTTTTGTTCTTCTTTTATCCTTTATTTAATTACGCGTTTCATCGAACAGGTTCGTCTGTACGCTATTTATTTTTCTGGACGTTCAATTATCTTATTCAGGATGGAAGTTAATGACGAAGTCTTGGTTTGTGCAGCTGAAATTATTAAAGGTAACAATCAATGTTACTTTATATTGTTTTTATTTTAATTGATTTATTTTTAATATATATCTTTTACTTATTACTTTAGTTGGTCTCCTTTGTATTATTATTTTTTTTAATTACTTATCCTTTTCTAGAATCTTATCATTTACATTTTATTTACATTTTAATTACTTACATTGCTACTTATGTTTAGATCGATTGTACTTTGCGACATTAGAAACAACAGTGAAACCCAAAAGTACGACCAACACGCATTACTTCAGCATCGATGATGAATTAGTCTATGAGAATTTTTATGCCGACTTTGGTCCGTTAAACTTAGCCATATTGTATCAGTATTGTCAAAAAGTTAATAAAAAACTCAAAGCAGTGATTCTGTGTAAAAAGAAAATTGTACATTATACTACAATGCATCCAGAAAAAAGAGTCAATGCCGCATTTCTGATAGGAAGCTACGCTGTAAGAACATAATCGTGATAGTTTAGTATTATATATTGCTAATACGTAAATATATTTATATTTATGTAATTTCATTTGATTTATTTCAGATACTGTATTGCAAACGTACAGTGAAAGAAGTTTTTGATTGTTTGACTAATTGTCCTAACAGTCCACCATTTATAATGTTCCGTGATGCTTCGGTTGGTTCTCCGTGTTATAAAATATCTTTATACGAATGTTTAAGTGCTATTGACAAGTGCCATCGACTTGGTTTTTTCAATTTTCAAGATTTTCGTGTTAAGGAATACGAACATTTTGAAAGGGTTGAAAATGGTGATTTAAATTGGATTGTTCCGGGAAAGTTCATCGCTTTCTGTGGACCACATGCTAAATCCAAAATTGAGAATGGTACATAATAAATAAAAAGATATTCTATAATCTTTAATGCAGAATATAAATGTTTTAAATATCAAATTTTATTTTCAGGGTATCCGTTGCATGCACCAGAATCATATTTCGATTACTTCAGACGTAATAATGTCTCTACAATTATACGACTTAATACTAAAATCTACGATGCATCTAGTTTTACAGATGCGGGATTTGAACACAAAGATCTTTTCTTCGTGGATGGTTCAACCCCAACAGATTCAATAATGCGTCAATTTCTAAAAATCTCCGAAAATGCTAGTGGTGCTGTAGCTGTACATTGTAAAGCAGGTCTTGGCAGAACTGGTTCACTTATAGGCTGTTATATTATGAAACATTATCATTTAACTGCTCATGAAACAATAGCATGGATTAGAATATGCAGGCCAGGTTCTGTTATTGGACATCAACAGCAATGGCTAGAAAAGTGAATATTTTTACTGAAATGCTTTTATTGTCTTTGGTATACGAAACAGTTGTTTTTATACATCAGATTTGTTAACAGTACATTTTTATTGGAGTAAAAGTAAAATTCTCTTTTATCCTTCAGAAAAGAAGCGTTTCTTCACTCGTTGCTGAAAGAACCGCTACACTCTGATAATAGAAATCCAATACATAAATATGGTATATATTCAATAATGGGAAGACCTAAGACCTCATTCTTATTAAATCCGAATAATAATCGTGTCATACAAGATAATGTTTCTGGAATAATGCATAGAGTTGATGGAATCAAATTGGATGATTCTACTTCTATAGCAACTCTTAAAACAACTAATAGACACCCATCCTCGACGTTAACGCAAGGCGACAAATTAAATCAAATTAAAGCTAGGAGAAGAAGGTTACGAATAAATCAATCTTCTCTGGGCACTCCTCCTGGATCATCGACAGTTGTTCAGTAAGTATATTTATTTGTATATAAAATTTGATAATTATTTGTGTTATTTAATGCAAACATATATTTAATACAAATAATTATCAGTCCATATCTAGGACCATTACTGCAAACTAGAAATCAAAAAGGAGCAGCTATAGCTACATTAGCTGGAAATAAAGAGAAAGGTCCTTTAAAAAGTTTGCTTGCACGGTCGACAACAACAACAACAGTTGTCAAAAGGTCAGATTATCTGACTCTATTGTTATTCCTATTTATGTTATTTTATTATTTTTTAACTTACTTTATTCCCATTACTACCCTTTGCCTCGGAGATCTAAATAACACGCTTAAAATAATATTAATATAGAAAACGCAATATTAATAAAAAAGCACAACTTATAAATAATTTACTGTAGATATCGCACGTTATAATAACTATATTTTAGAAACCTTTTTATATTCTATAGAAATTGTAAAAACGGTGGTTGGCTGACGATCAACAATAGCTACGATCCGTCTACTCGCCGTGTTAGATCTAAACCAACAACACAGATCCATAGTATCAACAACAATACAACTACTACTGCTTCTGTCACATCTATGTCTATATCCAAAACAGTAACTAAGGCGAGTATGAGAAGTTCCTGCATCTCAGAGGCCCGTGCTACAAACTCGTCTACAAATCATTCGGTTGCACAACCACAACCAGGCATGAATATGATTCTTAGGTCAGCAGACCGTGTTACCCGCTATCATTCTCTCAGGCAGTAAGTCTCAATTAACTGTTACTTTCCAAAATTGTTACAGTGTAACAATTTTATACTTTTTCTTCTTTCTCTTTTGTTGGCTATCTTGGTGTCTCATGATGAGATGCATCAGAAATCCTTTATTTCTTATTCTTCTTAAAACTTTTTCTTAGGCTTGCTTTTTTATCATTCCCTTCATGTATTTAATATTTTGCTTTCATTTACTAACAAGAAGTCCAATAATAAGATGTTAGAAAGCATGAATTTGTATATATATATATATATATATATATATATATAATATACTGTATAGCTTATAGTTGTAGTGAATTTTTTTGTTATTTAGTTTCAGCATTATTCAATTTATATTCGATCTATATTATACAATATTTTCACAAGGAAAGAATAAAAAGGAAGAAATGAAAGATAGAAATAAAAATAAAAAGAGGAAAGAAAAGAAAAAGAATAATAAACAATATATACATTTAATCAAATGAAGTTAATGATCAAACAAATAACATTTTTTTGGAGCTTATTTTTAAAAGATTTCTTCAAAAAACTAACAAGAACTAACTGGAATCTAACAAAAAATAGATTATATTTCTAAATACGTATAATATTTTTAGGTATTTTACTTGTGCAATTTGTATAATTATGATAGTGGCTCAAAAATTATAAAAATTTATTTTATGATTTATTTTATATTATAAAATCATAAAATTAATTTTTCTAATTTTTTAACTTACATTAGTTCATTGTTATAATTATCAGAACATTTATTTAGATAATATAAAAAGAAAAGTTAATTTTATACAATTACAGTAATAAAAAATAAATTGTTAATATCAATCAATGGAACACACATACACAAAACATTATGCTACCTGCAATATGAGTGTTGTTTGAATTTTTATATTGTGGCATGTGGACTATAACGTTATTTTTTACGATATTACTTGGGCCTGGACAAATAACAAATTCAAACGATTATATTAATAATAAAAATTGTACAATGTTCATCCTTTCATTTATATTACATATAAAAATATGCACTTAACGTTGTATATTGATGTCATATTCATATATCTATAGTTCATTTACAATCAGTAGACTTATTGACTTGTAATATATCCTTACATATATATTACTTTGATGGACTATACTTATATACATTTGACCAGGCCTTAATATGGTATGTATGTAAAACAAATTTTTCGCTTAAGCATGAAGTAGCTACAGTGGAGGTGGCTAACAAACCGATCCCATCAATTTCTATGACTTGCAGTGCGCGCACGACAAAAAGTTGTAAAACTGCATTTATCAGATGACTAACCGATATTCTCAGTGGCGTGGGGGAGGACAATCCAGTAACCCGAGCGTCCCACCAGCGTCGAAGATCTCATCGCTTAAACCCCATCATTCAATAAATGCACTTCAATGATCTTTGATATTTGTATAAACGAATGCAGGTTAGATAGATTCTTTTATTATCGAGAAAAAATTCCAAATATATATCTATAGTCATTTTCTTATTGCATATTTTTCTTTTTCTTTTAATAAAAAACAAGTATTTATCTCACTAGTTAAACTAAAATATATTCAAATTCTTTAAAGGAATATCGTCAAAATGGTGATAAAAACTTATCACATTTAATACGTACATACAATTATGCAATTTTACTTTTAATCGTTCTTCCAATTTGTGAAACGTTGAACGTTCACATTAAAAGAAAAAAAAAGGCCAAGACAGGAAATTGTCACTTTTATCATTGTCATCATAATCTCTTTTCTATTAATCTTCTGCTGGTCAGACAAATAGAAAAGTATAATAAATATATTTCCGCAAGATTGTGTTGATTTCGATTAATTGTCTAATTGGATTGTTCGTTATCTTTTCTTTCAATCAGATCATAATATTCAGATTTAATTTTACCTTTATTTCTCGATATACATAGTAAAATGTAAGAATCTTATTACCGAGTTCTTTATTGTAAGACAATTCGTGACATGTAATAACAAAGTGAATTTGAAAATGACTATTTGTCTATCATTGAAATACAAAAGTTTTGTATCGATGCATTACATTACATCACATATAACTTTCGCGTAACCATTCTGTAAATAATAATTAAAAACAACTAAGTCTTTAGATAGATTGGATATTTTTCTTAAATGTGTTTCATCGCTTTTTGAGCTCGGTAAATGGCATTGGGGGACAAAAATTTGCAATTCTACAGTGCACACAAACCTTATATATATATATAGAACTAGTTTATATGTTATTAACAAAGTATATATAATTGTCTTTCAATGTATTAAAGAAGAAAATTGAAAACAATAGTGTATAGATATAATAATTATATCGTTTCTTTTGCCAGCAACGCATGTGCGTGTACGCGTATGCGTTAAAGGCAAAAAGAAAAAATTGTATGTATCATAACATCTCCTTCTAATTTTAAATCAAATAGAAAATAACTTATCAGAAGCTATAGTTATTTTCAAAAATTATATTACACTTCATATTAACACTTGTTATAATATTATAATAATGTATGTAAGGCATAGTCATTCAAAATCTGTATTTAAGTAGAACACGTTAATCCTTTGCAGTCGTAAATTAGTAAGTTGTATCTTGCATCTACACGCTAATCATTTATTGTTCATACACGTCGCACTGTGCGAATATCGCAATATTATAATTAATACAAAAAATTAATGGATTTGAAAATAATTATAATTAATACGACTGTAAAGGGTTAAAAAAAAAAGAGAAGGTATAAATATTCAAAATGCTACACATGGCTTCATCGTGGTGCAAAAATTATTTTCAAATCTTTTGACCGTACGATTATATTTTATCGCAATCGTTCATGTAAATCTATTCAAGTTTCTTTCTCTTTTACATTTTTGTAACAACGTTAACTTAAAAACATATCACGAAAAATATAATTATAATAATCTGAGAAGAAGTCAATATTTAAAACGCTAATTGTAAATATATTCTCCATTATTATTATCATTATTATTAAGTAAAATATTTAAGCAAGTATTTAAATTACTTTTTTCTCTTTTTTTTTATTCTCTTTTTAATGCAAAAATTAAAAATCTAGTCTAATATATACGATTAAAAAATTTATCTCTTGTTGTACATATCAAAGGATTTGAAAACGAAAAGAAATATTTCTAATCCTGATGTAGCAATGTGTAGAATGTATATAAAATTATTTAAAATAAGTATAACACCAATGTTATAAGCTGTTACCATTATGGATTAATATTCGCAGTCCCTTTTAATTAAATTTTTTAGAGATATCCAATAATTGAATAAATTATTTGATTTTTATATCAAATAATGTAATATATTATTCGATGTGTATTTCTTTTCTTTTTCCTTTTTTTCTTTTTCAAAAAATTACGTAATCCATCATAGCAGCTTATACATTTTGCGATATCACAAAAGATGGAATTTTATATAATTCGCCATGCGAAGACACAATATTGTAATATTTATACATCATGGTTGTTTCTAACAACTTAGTCAAATGTTCTTTGCTCTTAGATGATGCACAGAAATATTTTACTGTGGAGAATCCACAGGAAATGATTCTAAGGAATTGCATAAATTTACATTAAGTAATATGAATAACAAATAGAATGCCATTTCCAAATATATTACAGTATAATGATTCATGCGGATTGAAAGAACAGTTCGCATGTAATTACAACCACGTACATTATATGAGGTTTAAAATATTTCTGTAATTCACTTAAAACAAACAAACAAACAAACAAAAAAATATATAAAATAAAATAAAATAAAATCAACAAAAAAACAAGGAATAATAATATTAATAATAATAATAATAATAATAGTGAAGTAGTAATTATTAGTAGCGTATAAAAAGAAATATTCTGTTTTCCATTAACACTTTTTAAATAAAACTAATGTTTCTAATAATAACAAATACACGAATGCTTTTGATGTATATGCGTATATCACGTGTACCAAGAAAAAATTTGTTGTATGTATGACTTTTTATGCAGATGCAATAAGAGGAAGCATTTAAAAAAAATAAAAATTGCTTACACAGATATTGTCATTGACGTATGACAAGCAAACTATTTTAGTAATACGATATAATCGATGTGTCATAGCAGATCCTAGAAAAATAGGATCTTAGAGAGAAAATGAAAATGTTTTATAGATTTGAAAATATTTGCTGAGAATTGTAGATATATATGAATTACTTCTTTTGTATTTCTAACAAATAATTTATTTCACGATTAGAAATCAATTATTTTATTAGCTCGAAAAATCACTTTATGGTTTTTATTATTTTTTTAAGATAAAAGGATTATAAATCGGCATAAAAAATTGTTAAGGCCTAAGAGTATGAATAGAATTATTATTACGATAATAAAATTTTAATTAAATGTGGTTGCGAATTGAACGTCGAAAAAAAAAACTCTTTTAAGCGAATAAATACTTTATTAGAAATAATCTAACGCACTATGGGTTGTATAAAAGTAACATTTATGATTGGTTAATATTTATTTGTAATTGTAGATTATTTAGCTCTAAAAAATTAAAAAAAAAAATTAATTTAAAAGTAATTCGTGTTGAGATAACTGTGATATAATAAGCACACACTTTTAATCTTTCTATTGAAAGAGGTTTGGCCATTTTTAAACTATAAGATATTAATAAATATGTCTCAAAAAAAAGGCCTCCCTTTTTATATATTTGTTGCAAGAAAAAAAACACACATCACATATTACTAACACACACGACCAATTATCTAATTTTTCCACTTTTCTATGTAATGTTACATTTGTCCCGTCTAATATCGATATAAATTGACTATGTTAATATATGATGTGTTATGATTCAAATGTAATGTTACATGCAGAGAAAGAGAAAGAGAATTCTATTTAAATAATTATTAAACGTGTGTACAATTAAATAATGCACTTTTGAAAAATATCTTTATTCGCTGTTAAGCTTATGTTAAAGTTTAGCATATCGGTATAATTAAAAATAATAAGATAAATACTGATAAAGTAT